TAGGTAGAAGCCAAAGTGGAGTTGCAGTTTCATTAAGCTAAGCAGGCAGAGATTGACGTTCTGGGGCTGCTCAAGTGATTGGAATTTGCCAAGCAATGTACTAGAAAGGGGAACTATTCAGAGGGGAGTTCGTGGAAATGTCTGTGGGCATTCAGTGCAGGTACTTGCCTTAGAGCTGAGCTGTAAGACAGTACAAGGCCTGGTGGCAACTGCTGCTTTAAGGCTGGCAGCTGACCTGTGATAATAGCAGTCATTCTGTAGTGCTAAGTTGTTGCCATTAGACCTTGCTGAGCACTTCAGAATATTCTATTGTTATCCCAAAAAGGCCACTCCTTAAGAGTAAGGATCACTCTTAGTGTTAAAGCCCTACCTTAGAACTAAATTTAAAATGAAATAGACCCACCCTAACAAAGAATAAAACCAAGCCTGATAAAACCAAAAGGATCTGTATGGCAGAACAAAACTCAACACCTATAAAGGTGACAGTGTAATCCAGACTTTCTTCAATATATTGTCCACTATGTTGAGCATTTAGTCAAAAGTTCCATGCATGCAAAATAAAGGATTCACAATAAAAAGTAGGAAGCTATGGCCCTGCCCAGTTTGGCTTAGCGGTTAGAGTGTTGGCCTGCTGACCGAAGGGTCTCTGATTCCTTCCTGGTGAAGAGCACATACGTTGGTTGCAGGTTTGATCCCTGGCCCCGGTTGTGGTCGTTTAGGAGGCAACTAATCGATGTGTTTCTCTCACATAGATCTTTCTCTCTCCCTCACCTCCTCCCTCTCCCTTTCTTCCCCTCCCCTCTTCTACTCTATGTGATAAATGAATAAATATCCTAGGGTAAGGATTAACCAGAAAAGTAGGAAGATACGACTTACAATCAAGAATTTAAAGATCAGTAGAAACAGACTCGAAAATGATTTAAATGTTGAAATTAGTAGTCAAGGATTTTAAAGCAGCTACTGCATGTTCAAATATTGAAACAAAAAAAAAAGTCATAATGATTCAACAGATGGAGACTATCACAGCAGTGAAAATAGAAACTTTATAATGAATAAAATGAAAATGTTAACACTGAAAAGTTTAATATGCGTAATGATAAATTCACTGGATTGAAACTACAGAAGAAAGGGTTATGGAACCCGAAGACAGAAAAAAGCTGATTATACAGTGTGAACCGTCCAGATTTAAATTCTCCCTTCCCCATTTTCCTGCACCTTTCCCCCTTCCTGTAGGCATCCATGAGAAACAGACACATTACATTCAAAGGTAGGTGATAATCAGTCTGGCTTGAGGTTTGTTACATGTGATGTGATAAAAATATGGAACAACTTGTGAGGAGAATATAGTTGTGAGCTGGGACTTTCACATATTGCTTTTAAAATCCATTTTATTAACAGTTTACATGACCTATAATATACAAATATTTCATAAAATTGTGTTTAGCTAAAAACAAAAACATGCGTCAGAGAAAATCTAGCAATATGTAAAATGTATTAGTGTGTGACTACAGTAAGAAAATGTTAATGTGATACTGCCTGTGAATCTATTAATTGAGACTTTTTTCATTTAAAAAGTCACATTCTTCTGTACACTGAAAAATTAATTTAAACTTTAGAATATTTTGGAAAGAAGGTTAAAAACATTATCCTAAGTAAAAGATGCATTACACAAGAGTTTATACCATGATTTCGTGTATATGAAGTTTTAGAATAGGCAAAACTAATCAATGGTGGAAAAAGCATCAGAACTGGTTGTTTCTGGGGATGAGGGCAAGAATTGGTTGGGAAAGGAGTATGTGTGACCTTTATGGGGTGATGATAAAGTTCTATATCCTACTAAGATTTTGAATTACATGGGTGTATACATTGTCAAAACTCAGTGAATATACATTTAAGATTTGTGCATTTGTATGTAAATTTTTATATCAAAAGTAAAATACTGTCAACAAAAAATATTTGGAGAACATTATTGTTTTGTAAAAGTATAGAAAGTGTAAACTATTCCTTGCTGGCCTTTTCATAACTCACACTGTTAGACTGAGATATAGATATAAATTAGTACATTGTGCTTGCCTCTATTAGTAATACTTGCTATGTTGAATTGGAGTTGGTTCCTCCGATGGACAGTGGGATCCTGGAAGGCAGGAAATCCCTGCCTTCTAACAAATTACTGGCATGTGCTCAATATGTATTTAACAGATGAATAAGTTTCCCTCTGCCCTTCAAAACTCTTAGTTCTGTATCTACAGATATTTAAACCATGCTGCTGTTATATTTGGATATAATTTTAAGCAATCTCTCTGAATATAGAACTTGAAATGACAAATGTTAAAAGATTAACTTTTGTTATTTTGTGTTAATTCTAGCTATTAATATAAACACAAAATAACAAAAGTTAATCTTTTAATATTTGTCATTTCAAATTCTATATTCAGAGAGATTGCTTAAAATTAAATCCAAATATAACAGCAGCATGGTTTAAATATCTGTCTTTTTATTGAATGCTATGATTGAGTTGGTCAGGTTTTGGGTCTCCATTTGCAAAAGTGTTTTATGAGGAAATAATAGGCTTCATAGTTAAATAATTTTATGACATTTGTAATAAAGTTATTCAGAAAATCTACCTACTCATTTTTGTGTGTGATCTTAACCTCTCTATAAAATGTCGAAATTAGACCAACTGAAGAAATATGTGAAAGCTGGTTAGTTATAATGCTTTTTGTTTTTTTACGTTAGAGGAAGTAAGTGGTGCTAGACAAAAACAACAAAACATTTTATGGGAAGGAGTAACTTAATTTTAAAAAATATGTGAGAAGTTATGTTAAAGAATTTCTAGTAGAAATCCTCATGGAGATTAAAAGCATACACTTTGTTACTTGAAATATTACCATAGAATGAGAATAAAGTAACATTGGGTGTTTACAAGTGTATGAATTGCTCATCTGTATAACATTTAATAGCTTATGAAAAAACTATGTTTCATTTGCTTATTAAATAATAACTATCATTTATCAAATGCATACTATATAACAGATGTGCTCAATCTTTGTTTTCATTATCTTATATAATCCTCACAGTTCTGAAATTGATCTTATTATCTATCTTCATTTTACAGATGAGGAAATTTAAGGCTTAGAGAGGCAAAGTCATTGGCCTAAAGTCTCATAGCTACTAGTTGGTTTGAAGTAGATTCAAACTCAGGTTTGTTCTGATTCCAAATCTAGTCCTAATCACTATACTTTACACTTCCACATTTTATAAACTAGTTATTAAAGTTTGTTCAAGAAATGTTTGTTGTGGACTTAATGTATGTACATATTGGGCTGATGAATTAGTCTTGGTTCCTATGCTGAAGGTTCTTTCAGTTTAGGAACCTTGCTGCTCTAAGTATGGTTCACAGACCAGCAACATCAGCATCTTCTGGGAGTTTGTTAGACGTGCAGAATCCCAGGCCCTAGCCCAGGAGTACAGAATCAGAATCTGATGAACCAGATCCCCAGCTGATTGGTGTGCACATTCAAGTTTAATAGGCACTGGTCCCAAAGACTTAGAATAACAATCAATTTAGCATGTTGGGGTCAAGAGAGGCATCCATATAATCTGATTCTAACAAGAGGATCTTGAGATGTACCAGACTTAATTTTCTACTTCACATAACATATGCATTGTACCTGTGATATTTGGTGAAAACCTCGGAATTCTTTCAGAATGTTTAATATTGCATTTTAGAAGACAGTTTTTGGGTATAGTGTCTTCTCATTTTAATGGAATTGGATATTAAATACAATAGCAACCATTTATGTGAGGTCAAGTAACCATAGATTTTATTTGACTATTTTAGTTTTGTGTTTCATTTTTAAAAAAATGAGATTGATTAAGTCGGGGTGAATATGGAAAAAGACTGATTCACATATTTGACCCATTGTTGTTTTTTAAAGGATACTAATTAAATTAATGAAGCTTAGAAGTGAAAATTATTTCCCCCCATCCTTTCCTAGTTTGCCTAAGGCCTCTTTCCTAACACTGGATTTGTCATTTTTTTAGATGTGGAAGTTATGTACTATGACTGGATTTCTCTTTGTTTACATGGCGCCCTTATGGACTAGCAGGGTCTGTGCTTTAAATATCTCCTAACAGTCCAAAATGTAACCCTATATATGCATTCATGTATTAACAAACAAATGCTTTTTTAAAATTTCAAATAGGAAGCACTGTTCTGTTTTGCATGCACTGGCACTAATATAACATACTTAAACAACAACTAACTTGAAATCACTTCTTAGATTAAGGCGATAACTGATTGTAAGGATGGAAAGAGAATTCCAATAAGTTTATACACGGGCTTTTTTATTCTAATACTAAGTAGAAATAAAAATATCTGTAGTTTACATTTTTATAAATACTGTAATTTTGAACTGAGCATGGCTTTCATTTTTTGTTGTTTGTTTTTTTGCTGAAATGTGAATAGAGGTGTTAACTTATATCAAGAAATGGTTGAGCTGAATATTTTATAATGTAATCAAATACCTCAATTTGATTGTAGATATAGATTTGTTCTATATTCTAGAGATTAACTTAAAAATAATGGATTCAGTAACTATGAAGATGATTTGGATTTTATTATATCACTCACCCAAACTCAGTCTTATGTCTCTATTGTCCTTATCTGCAACACCTTCCTTCTGAGAAATGACCTTGCTTCTCTTAGAAAAGCTTAACTGTTTTCTTTGAGCCTAAGAAATAATAATTAGAATATAAAAGGCTTCCTTGTTGAAGTAAGAGCTTCAACCATGAAAAGATATTACAGCAAGTAAGTACATGCTTTTTAAAAAGTTGAAAATAAAATTTAATTTCCACCCATAATATTATTAATCATTTCAATTATCTTAGCATCTAGATTCAGTAATAAACATATTTGCTTCTATCTTCAAGAGCAGTTGGTATTAATGAGTATGAATCAAGGATTGTTTAGAAGTTTAAAAATGCATTTTATTTTTCAGCAAAGATGTCAAGGAAGTTAAGCTTGCCTACTGACCTAAAGCCTGACTTAGGTAAGTAAAATAAATAAAAATCCGTATTAGTTAAACTCCCTTTAATGGCAAGAGAAGGAAATCAGAAGATTTAAAATGACCGTAGACAAGATTTTCATCAGAAATCAAGTTTAAAATGACTAAGATGTTTAGGGATTAATAGCCTTTAAAATCCATCAGTAAATTATGAAAGATAATGATGAAATCAAGTAAAACAAAAGGATACACTTCTTCAGCCCTTATACTTTATATCTAAACAAAATTTAGTATAAAATTAAGATTTGTGCAATTTCAGATTAACCATCCGAAAACATTTTGAACTGTGCAATTCCTAGATTTACTTTATAAGAATTTAATATCTTCAAAATAAACTACTAGTTTTTTATATTACAAATAACTCATATCAAGAATCATTACCTTTTGTTAATAATAAGTTGGGAAATTTTTTTTTTTTTCTGTAGCACTTTGTATGCGACTAGTCCATTGGGAGAGCATAGGGAATTCACACATTCCTTTTGCTTTACATGCAGCTTAAAAACGACTCCCTGATATCCCATGATAGGGATAAATGAGATTTCAATAAAGATAAAAATAAGCCCTGGCCAGTTTGGCTCAGTGGTTAGAGTGTCAGCCTGTGGACCAGAGAGTCCCAGGTTTGATTCTGGCCAAGGGCACGTACCTCGGTTGCGGTTCATCCCAGGCCCCGGTTGGGGTTTTGCGGGTGGCAACCAGTCGATGTGTCTTTCTCACATCAATGTTTCTCTCTGTCTCTCTCTGTCTCTCTGTCTCTCTCTCTCTCTCCCTCCCTCCCTCTTCCTCCCTCTCTCTTCCTCCCTCCCTTCCTCTCCTTCCCTCTCTCTCCCTCTCCCCCTTCCTTCCTTCCTCCCTCCCTCCCTCCCTCCCTTCCATTCTGTCTGAAGATAAATGTGAAAATATCCTCTGATGAGGATTAAAAAAAAAAAGATAATAAGATTTAATGTAATAAATATAAAGCATGGTTTCTTTTTAAACACAGTTTTTAAATTTCAGAACTTTCTCTTGTCTTTAATTGAATAAGTATGACTGTGTTCACCCATCTTAGTCTTAGAAATAACTGGATTTTTCTTCCTTGCATTTGCTCACCCTTCTCATCTTCTCACAATTTTCTAAATTCCTAGACTATCTTTTTATGAATAATACACACTTAGGTAATGGTCAATTAATTTTAGCATTTTCATATCACAGTCATATCAGTTATGCTCACAGAAAGTATGTGATTACCCGTGAGTAGGCATAGTATCTTCTGCTGCTGTTAGTGAAAGGTTCCATTCCTGAACATAGGAAAACAATTCAGTGAAAACCTGTCGTATCACTGGTGTTTAGGAAACATGAATTAATCCTAGAATGTAAAATCACATGTTTTGAAAAGGGCATAGTTCCCTTCACTGTAATTTGAACCCAATTATATCTGAAGCTTACAATATGCTTTTCTTTTTCAACAAGAGGATCCAGAGTTTTCATTAGACTCTCAAAGAGACCCATGATTATAATAACATGAAATGCTACTAGTTGAGATGGTTTTATATCTTATTTTCCTAAAAACTGAGAAAACACATGTGCAAATACTTCTAAAATTAGTAAAAATATCAATTATGTTTAGAACACTCAGTTATAAATTATGTAAATAATTTAATCATAGTGTGTACTCCATACTTTTATAGGTCATCTTTAGTTTATGTTTTAGCTTGTTTTTCAATATACTTAAATTCCCTAAGCCAATTATAATTTTTATTGAGATACGCCTTGAAATAGTCTCCATGTTGTCTTTAGTAATTTCCCTCAAGTTACTGTGCTGCTGAACTGCCTTTTTTTTTATCCTCACCCGAGCACATTTTTCCATTTTTTGTTCATGTAGAGTGGGAGGGAGAGAGAGGAACAGAGAGAGAGAGAAACATCGATGTGAAAGAAACACATCGAGTGGCTGCCACCCGCACGACTGACCAGAGCTGGGGACAAACTGCAACCGAGGTACATGCCCTTAGCGGGAACCGAACCCGGGTCTCTCAGGACCGCAGGCCGACGCTCTAACTGCTGAGCCAAACCGGCCAGGGCTGAACTGCTTTTTGATAGAGATTCTTAGCTGGTAATCGTTTACATTAGCTGGGAGTCAGTGGGGAAAAACAGATGTACTGATAGACTCAAACTGCCAGGTATTGCTGAAGCAGCTCAGGCTGTTCTGTCCTGTGGCTCTGGAAGCTTCTGTGAGTAGAATCCACTTTGCTTATGGGTAATTGTGCGATACTACACTTTCACTATAGCCTTACCATTTCAGATCTCATGGCCTACAGCACGGGAACCATGCATGATATTGTTAGGCTTCTGATGTCACTTTTCAAGTGTCAACCACAGAAGGCAAAACAGCAAGTTGTTGTCTACCTTGATGTGAATTATGAATTAACTTTTTGTCCAAATTTTGATTTTGGGATGTGGAATTTTTTACATTAGGCTCTTTGTGGGGAGGAGAAGATGCTATGTACAAGTAATGTTCTGGGCATCCAGAGTAACATGAGAGCAATGATTTTATGACATGGTTGTTATCAGCTAGTGCTGGGTCAAGGCGTTAATGACAACTTTTATCTGAGTTTAGATCTGCCAGAAAGACCACATTGTCAAGATGTTTTTGTGTCTCCGTGTCTGCATGCATGTGTGTGTGTGTGTGTGTATCTTAAGACTGACGTTAATATTCAATAATAACCAAAACCTGGGGGGAGGGGCGGGAGCAGGGTGAAGGGGACAATGAGGGAAAAAGGAGAGGACATCTGTAATACTTTCGACAATAAAGATAAATTAAATTAAAATGATAATAACAACCAAAACCCTCCACTTGTATGCTATTGGTGATATGACTGACCCCATGGAGTTGTCTAGTAGAAAGTTTTAGACTTGGACATGGGCACAAACCCTAACTCTTCCGTTAACTAGCTTTGTTATCCTGAGCAAGTCATTTAACCTGTCTGAGCCTCTATTTTATTATTTGTTAAATTGTGATAATACTTTTTAGGGTTGTTATGTGGATTCAATAAAATAAATATGAAGTGCCATGATAGTGTGTGGCACATGGTGGGCCTTGCTTGGTGGTAGCTATTTTCATTTCTGCTCTAGTTACTAAAGTTTAATTTTCTATTTTGTGTGTTTATCTTGCCCAATTTCTAAAATTCAAACCACGGAGACCCACAGCCTCTAACTTAATAGTAATCAATGGAAGTTGTAATTCATGAACTGCTAGAAATTCTAACTTCTTTTCAAACAGTTCTAGGCAGATAAAATATGTATTTCCTTCTAAATTCAAAGTTGATTCTGCTTCACTTTGTTTTCCCATTTTATCTAGCCTTAGAAATTTCTTTGGTAATCTAATATATAAAGGGAAGTCATATGATAATCATGCTTTTGTAGTTTATGAATTTTATATGGTTAAATTAGCATATTAATTTAAATACTTTATTTGGCCTGTGAATTAACATTTGAATTATAGATTGTTGTGAATCACCTACGTAATTTTAATAAATATCAATAAGAGTTTTCACATAGCTTAATTTACATTGAATTTTATCAAATTTTCTTGCATCATTGATTTCCATTTTTTTATCACCAAATCACAACTGGAAATATATGTTCATTTATTTTGTATGTGTATTTTTATTAAAGTAACAAATTAAATATTTTTATTACTGCAAAATAAATTTAAATTTTCTGTTGCTTTATTAAAATAACTTTGGAAATTAGAAAGAGTTAACATTTGAATCAGTATTATGTCACAAACTCCCAGTAATGAGCTATTGCTTATAGAAAGTAGTTTTATTTACAGTAAGTAGTTCTTTTCTACTGTGTCATAGTCTGCATAAGGAAGTACAATCTCAGGGAAAAGAAAGATATTATTTTAAAAAAAGACATTTTTAGAAACTATATTTAGAAATGTCCCATACGGTTGTCATAACTAGTAGTTTTATTGTTTTCAGAGGCTAGCTTAATCAAAGTTGTTGCATATTATTATTTGAGGGAATATTTTCAGTCTGTGAATCTAAATTTGATTATTAAAAGCTCTTAGATTCAGTCATACCTTTTTTATTTTTCATGACATTATGAAGTCATTTATTTCATGATAGTATTGTGAAAGCATGTGATTTGAGGAATGGTTTGTTATATGTGAACAGTAGACAGAACTAGAAATTTCAATATAGTTCAGTGATGCTGCAGAAATGCATTGGTTTAGATACTTTCAACTATAGATATGTGTTCAGCAAGTATGTGTTAAATACTTACATATGCAAGGCATCGTGATGTCAGAGCCCTTACTTGTATCAGAAACTTAACAGTCACTTTAGAGGAAGGCCTAAGACAAGTCAGAAGAACCTACAGAACAAATGTACTATTGGTGCCATGGAAGAGATAAAAAACATACTGAGATTCAGAAGAAAAACTATATGATTTTAAGAATCAAGATAAACTTCCTGAAGATATTACCTGAGAAAGGAAATAAGCACAATCTTGATAGGTAGAGAAGTGGAGAGGCAAGGTCACCGATCACAAGCAAAGGTGTGTGAGTAAGTGCAGGGTGTGTTTGGAGAACACTAGATGGCTTGGTCTGTTTCCTACGGTGAACTGAAGCCAGGCAGCATTGGAAAACAGGGCCTGGAGGGTAGGTTGGAGGCATGTTGTGGAGAATAAGATTACAGTGATACCTCGGTTCTCGAACATAATTCGTTCCAGGAGGATGGTCGAGAACCAAATTGTTCGAGAACCGAAGCAATGAAACCCAATAGGAAATAATGGAAACTGGATTAATTCGTTCCAAGCCCCAGAAAATGCCTATTTACTGGCCTAATTTGTATATAATATGTAGAAAAACATAAGTCTCAACAAGAAATAAAAGTGTACAGTATGTCTAAGAGTTAAATTCAGTGTAAAGCGTGACTCTCTCCACAAAGCGTGACTCTCTCTCTGCACTCACACTGATGACGCGAGCAAGGCGCGCTGGGCCGAATGAACGCCATTCGGCTCAACTCGGCTCATCTCGGAAGTTCGAGTTCCAAATATTTGTTCGGATTCCAAGACAAAAGTTTCTCGAATCTCCTGGTCGAATACCGATTTGGTCGAAATCCGAGGCGTTCGAGAACCGAGGTATCACTGTATAGGCATGATCAGTAAAGAGGAACCACTGAGGATTTTAAAAATAGAAATGATAGAATTTTAACTGAACATTACATTATTTAATTGAGTTGTGTTAGAACAGTGACAGTGAAAGTGGGGAGATTACTTGGGAATTGTGCAGTAGTCTACATGAATGGTAATGAAGGGTAATGGGAGTTGATTGGTTATAGAAAGTAAAAAAAAAACAACAACACAGAATATTGGAATAAAACAACTTAGGACTTGGCATCCCATTAGGTATACAGATAAAGTGAAAGGGAAGGACCCAAACTGCAGCTCATTTAAGTGTTGTTCCCTAGGAGGACTGGTATATCATGAATATAAATTGTACTATTAGAAGAATTTCGAGCTTTGGGGAAATGACGTGTTTTGATTTTGCATAGGGAGACATAACAGAAAAAATTCCCATAAGCATTTCAAAATACAGTTCCAAGAGATAAGAGGCCAGGGCTTGAGACAGACTTGAGATGGGCCACAAAGAAGAAGGTGGCTGAAGACAAGAGTTTATTTGTATAATTTACAAGTATCCCTATCATTACAGACATCCCGGGATGGAGATTATATCTGATACCAGTTATATATTGTGATGAAAAATGCTGTAGATGTGGAGTACAATTAAAATGACATTCAAGAAAAATGAAAGTAAATTTTTATAGATTAAAGGCTTTCATACTTTCATATGGACAGATTTGGATGAAAAAAATACATCATACCATGAATTTGAAAGTAAAATCTGAGTACTTCTGAATGCCTTTTTAAATGTAGAAAATTGAAAATATCCACTTTTTTAGTTCTACCTAATCATGGAATTGAATTACCAAAGGAAGAAAGAACACCATGAGAAAAGGTGTGAGAGCTGAGATTAGAGAACAGCCAGTATGCCAACATAGAGCTGCACTGAAAATTGAAGACCACACATCTCAAAATTCACAGGGCTGCACCCAGCTCAGTTCTCAGAAGTGTGGGTTTATCTATTTGCATTTTATATTTAAGCAAAGGAAAAAATTATTAGCATAAAAGTAAATTGTTTTTCTTTTCAATTAAAAGATTAAAATTAAATATGTTGTCTTTTTGCAGATTAACTATTTAGCCAAATTTATGCCAAACAAAAAAGGTGGTATTTTATAACTTAAATTATAAGCAATCTCACATTTCAAATCATTTTAGATATAAAAGATAATTCCTTCAGCCGGTCCCGGAGTTCCAGCGTAACCAGCATTGATAAAGAATCTCGAGAAGCAATCTCTGCTCTCCATTTTTGTGAAACTTTTACTCGAAAGGCAGATTCGTCTCCTTCCCCATGTTTATGGGTTGGTACCACGCTGGGAACAGTGCTTGTCATTGCACTAAACCTTCCCCCAGGAGGAGAGCAAAGACTTCTTCAGCCAGTAATTGTATCTCCGAGTGGTATGTATTCTGAACATTTGATTTACTGTAATATCGTGCATGCCTTTGCTTTTCATTTTTGAATTAATCTAACAATTCTAAAATGTAAACTAAATGGGGATAGTTATAGTCCTATGTTTTTAATAAAGAATACATGGAATAAAATTGAAGAATATTATTTATAACTACAGCAATTTGGGTTTTGCACTTTTTAAACTCTAGAATCATGTCTAAAATGATTACCATGTAAGAAAATGGGGAAAACTAATTTTGATGTATTTCAAGATACTTCAAAATATGTTCTAGAAGTAAAAGGTTGGTATATATTTAGGAGAAAAACAAAAGTATATTTTTAAACATATACTTGACTATTTGTAATCTCTAAGTGTGAAGTCTTAAAATAGATTGTCTTCTTTAAAGTATTAGGGAAAGTTGACAATAGCAAAAAAAAATTTTTTTTTTTGGTTCTCACCTGAGGATATTTTTCCATTGGGCTTTTAGAGGGAGTGGAAGGAAGGGAGAGAAGAAAGAGAGAGAAACATCGATGGGAGAGAGAGACATTGACTGGCCGCCTCCCACATGACCCCAACCAGGGCCAGGGATCAAACCCACAACCCAGTCACGTACCCTTGACCAGAATCGAGCCCAAGACACTCAGGTCCCTGAGCCAGTGCTCTAACTGCTAAGCCAAACCAGCTAGGGCTTAATAGCAAATTTTAAGAAGAAAATATGTACAGTCTCATATATTGAAAATGAGATTAAATTTTATCAAATGTGTATGGAGTCTGATAGATCTGAAAATAATAGAATTCTGGTTTCCATTACTAGTTTATGTTGATCTAGACAGAAAAAAAATACAATTTTGTTCATATCTCTTGTTCGTAGACTTTAACAATACTTGGAATTTAAAATTAAAATGTAATTATGTGTTAATGTTCATTTCTGAACTATCTTTAATTAAAAGAAAGTTTGACTTATTCATTCAGCTCAATAAATATTTGAGTATATACTACTGCATGCTGATTTAGAAAAGGTTAAATAATGATATTCTAATTAATCTCATTTTTATTAATAAACAACAATTTAAGAATATAGGGAAAAAACTAGAAAGACAAAAATCAAAATGTTAACGGTAACTATCACTGAATATAGTGGGGTTGTGAATAATTTTTATTTTCTTTTTACTGGCTGGTAGTTTCTAAATTTTGTACAGCAAACATGCATTAGTGTATATTAAGAAATGTTTCCAATAAAAAAATGAAAGGATTAAATATAGTTTATTAACTACATAAAAATATTTAAGATATTTTTCAACTTGCAATAAAATCAAATTAGCTATACATTCACATTGATATAAATAGTTATCATATTAAAGAGGGAATCTTTGAGTTCATTCTCAATGGTAGAATCTTGAAGGTTTATAAGGTACCTATTTTAAATATAACGGAGACCTTCATACCATGTTAAGTCTATATTAGAACTGTGAGGAGAAGAGAGGTGTATTGTAAGCAGGAAGGGTTTCTGTGCTTAAGAACCTGAAATAGTCTACTTTGTTCCCAGTTGTTTTTTTTTCCTTCAAGAGGAGAACCAAACAGTTACTACTATTTGGCTGGAAAACATAAAAAAATCCTGCTAACTATAAGACAGGCATATATTTAAACATTATCTTGTTACATTTTCAGAAAAATCCACATACTGGGTTTACTCTATTTTATATATGTTTATGTGTACTATAAACAGTTCCCCAATTAGCAAACTGTTTAAAATAAATTGCTTGCCAAATCTGGACTATAGACTAAGGTTACCAGATTTAGCAAGTAAAATACAGGATGCTCAGTCCAATTTGAATTTCAGATAACAAATACTTTTAAATATAAGTATGTCCCATGCTGAATTTCAAATTATAATGCATTATTTAGGACATACTTATACTAAAAAATATTATGTATCTGGAATTCAAATTTAACTGGGTATTCTTTAGTTTATCTGGCGATATATAAATGTAAAGAAGAAAGGAAACAATGTTTTGTCTTCTAAGAAGGATTGTGAGGGAACATTGGGAACTCTTCCTCTTAGAAATAAAATAGTATATGAAAATATTTTTGCAAACTAAAATATTATATAAGTATAAAGTAATATGATATGAAAAATCTTTTAAAATAAGAACCAGAATGCTAAATCAATTCTATACCTTCCCTTCTGTTGGTTTCCAAGTCCTTAATATTAATGCTATCTTTTTACTTAGGAACGAGCATAGAGCATATTTACCTTTTCAAGGATATGGGAGAAAGGGAATTCCATTAATTAAAACAAATAAAGAAATATTACCCCTAAATTAAGAATGTAATTTGATCAAAATAATACCGTAAATGTATTTGGCATTTACTGCTAAATATTTTTAAAGGAAATTATTATTTTTTTTGAAGTAGTGTTTAGAAGTACGTGGAATTTTTTTCTCATTGGCCCTGTTGATCATCACTGTCTATTCAACATGCAATGTGAGCGACATATAGAATTTTCAGTTTTCACTTTTCTATTAAAGTAAAAAACATGGAAAATTAATTTCAGTAATATTTTATTTAGTCCTGTATATTCAAAACACTTTCATCATGTAATCAGTTTTTTTAAATTATAGAAATATTTTACTATTAATTTATTTTTACACTAAGTCTTCAAATTGGCATGTTTTACTCTTACACCATGCCACGGTTTGGACAAGCCACATTTTGAGTGCTCTACAGCCACACGTGGCTAGTGGCTGCCATAGTGAACAGTGCAGCAGTAGCTGCCATCTGCTTGCTCTCGTACTTGTTGGTAGTACATTTGCCAGGTATGAGGGAAGACAGGTTCAGACATTCCAGCATTATCTGTTTGGGGCATGTAATATTGATATCTTTTTCCAGATTAAAATATCTGAATTTTGGATCCTGTCAGTTAAGCCAGTGTACTAAGCCAGTTTAGTATATATACTACATATTTTTGAATGCCTGTTATGTGTCATAGTTGGAATGAACATATTTACTGTGTGGATTGAAATATTTGTTATCTATTAAACTTACGTATTTTAGGTACTATATTGAGGTTAAAAGGGGCGATCCTGAGAATGGCATTCCTAGACACCACTGGCTGCTTAGTGCCACCTGCATTTGAATCCTGGAGAGAACTCAGTGTTCCTGAAGAAAAAGATGAAAAGGAGAAATTGAAAAAAAGACGACCGGTCTCTGTATCCCCTTCCTCTTCTCAGGAACTTAGTGAAAACCAGTACGCAGTGATATGTTCTGAAAAGCAAGCAAAAGTAATCTCACTGCCAGCTCAGAACTGTGCTTATAAGCAAAACATTACAGAGACCTCATTTGTTCTTCGCGGAGATGTTGTGGCATTGAGTAACAGCATCTGCCTTGCCTGTTTCTGTGCCAATGGACATATTATGACTTTTAGGTAAGAGTCAAATTATTTTTAAACACATAGTAGCATTTCTTCACTCAAAACATAACATTACAGAATTATATTTAGTTTGAAATAAATTATTTGTTTATAGTCTTATAAACTGAGAATTTCATTTTATTCAGTTAATAATGAGCAAGTATATGAGGACTACAAATCAGTGTTATCTCCCACTCAAGTGCACTAAATCATAAGGTTTATAGGGTCCCTACCATTTTTTCCTTCTATAATATTTTGTTTAAGACTAAAGCCTACCTTGTTTATTATTAACAAGTTTTTAATTTTTTTCCTCAAGTTTGCCAAGTTTAAGGCCTCTGTTGGATGTGTATTACTTGCCCCTTACCAATATGCGGATAGCCAGAACGTTCTGCTTCACCAACAATGGGCAAGCATTGTATCTTGTTTCACCTACAGAGATCCAGAGACTCACTTACAGCCAAGAGACCTGTGAAAATCTTCAGGTAAATAAATATATTACTATAGTTTCTTCAGGGATGAAATATTCTCAAAAGTCCCTTATAATGCCCATCCCTTACACTCACATGCATTACAAATGAGCCTATGTGGTAGCATCCAAAGCCTTTACTGAGATTTTCAGAGCACATGCTTTGAGACTTGTGGTAAAGTGTCTTCATCCAGCTCTTGTTTTAAGAGGGACTTCATCTCAGTGATCCATATTTTTTCTCTCCTGTGACAGCAACAATATATGAAATGTTACATAGATTTTATCTGTTTTAGAGCAAATTATTTCATCCCTTCTCTAGTTGTAAGGGTGTATATGCATACAAGGAAAAATAAGGTTTGGTAATTTTCCTCTGAATATTTTTGCTGATCTATTCATGAGAGACTACAAACAAAGTAATTAAATATAAAACTGTGTATTTTCGAATTAAATTCCTATATGCTTGCTTATATATAAGAAATGATTATTTTAACTTCACCATTTAAAATAAAATTGCTCTTGAAATACTGAGGTACAACATTAATTGGTATGTGATGTTCAGAAAAAACCATTACTAGGCAACTTTATCGTGAAAGTTTAGCCGAATTTTACTTGTTGGTAAATTTGAATTTGTGGCTTATTTTTAGAACATGAGCTTTAGAGTCAAGAAAACTGAATTTTGAGTCCCAGCCTTGCTAATTACTGAGTTATGTGACCTTAGACAAGTAACTTACTGGCTCTGAGCTACATCATTGTTAAAATTAGGATAAAAATAATATGTATCTGCATAGCAAAAGAAACTGACAACAAAATAAAAAGGTAACAAACCAAACAGGAGATGATATATGCAAACAGCAACTCTGAAAAGGGGTTAATATCCAAAATATATAAAGAACTCATACAACTCAACACCAAACAAACAATTCAATTAGAAAATGGGCAGAGAACCTGAACAGACACTTCTCCCAAGAAGAAATACAAATGGCCAACAGATGCATGAAAAGATGTTTAATTTCTCTAGCTATTAGGGAAATGCAAATCAAAACTACAATGAAATAACACCTCACACCTGTTAGAATGGCCAATATCAACACGACAAGTAATAAGTGTTGGAGAGGTTGTGGAGAAAAAGGAACCCCCATTCACTGTTGGTGGGAATGTAAACTGGTACAGCCACTATGGAAAACAGTATGGCGGTTCCTCAAAAAATTAAGAGTAGAGCTACCATATGACCCAGCAATCCCTCTTCTGGTTATCTACCTGAAAAACTTGAAAGCATTTATTTGCAAAAATATATGCTTACCCCTATGTTTATTGCAGCATTATCACAGTGGCCAAAACATGGACACAACTAAAGTGTCATTCAATAGATGATTAGATAAAGAAGATGTGGTACATATATACAGTGGAATACTACTCAGCCATAAGATGAAATACTCTCATTTATGACCACATGGATGGACCTTTAGCATGTTATGCTAAGTGAAATAAGTTACTCAGTAAAAGCTAAAAACTATATGATTTCAATTCATATGTGGGATATAAAACTGAAACTCATAGACACAAAGTATGGTGGTTACCAAAGGCAAGGGTTTAGGGAGGTAGTAAAGGCAGCCAAATATAAGATTTGACGGGTGGCGGGCACATAGTGCAATATGTACAGATCATGTATCATAGAAATGTACACTTGAAACTTATATGATCTTATTAACCACAGTCACCCCAATAAATTGAATTAAATGTATATTATGGTGTGGAGTAAGGGAGACAATGCACATAAAGTGCTTAGCATAGTGCTTGGTACAGAGAATGTTCTCAATGTCAGATGTTAGTAGTATTATTTTACTAAGCTAACTGTACTGGAAACGGATTCCTAATGATATTATAAACTTTGAGAGTGAAACATTTACATATCTGGTATTTTAGATTCAAGTTCCCATAGATTCAAGGTGCCATTTACATCTGAATGGAATTGTTTTTTTCTATGATTTCTAAGCTTCTGATTTAAAAATTTGCCTTTTATGAGAAAGGTAAAAATTTGCTTTAGTGTTTCCTTTGACTAGTGAAATGTTACTATATTAAGAAATATAAATGGGCAATTGAATATAAAATATTCATTTCAATCTGAAATGTAATCATAATTTAACTATTCAAAATTCTAAGTGTCTTATTTTTCCTGGGATTCATTTATTCTATCCTTTGATGATTGATTTATCTTACTGTTTTAATAAAATCAATAGCAGCTGCAGTAAACTTTACCGATTTATGTTTAAATGAAATGGTCATATAGTAGTTACACTCAATTTATTTTAATAACTATCTGCTATATGCCTTCATGATAGGAAGATAAATGAAAAATGGACTTAGAAAAATGGACTTAGAAAAATGGACAAAAACGCGAAACCACAATTTTTAAGATCTTGGACATCAGGCAGTAAAGGAAATGAATCCCTGAGAGACAGGGACCAAAGCAGGTGCCCCAGCTTTAGTGCCTTTACGGAGTTTTCAGAAGATGGCACAGAAAGAGGGTGCTGAGGCACATCTGACTCACGTTCCAAGTTGAGAAGACAGAACCAAGTGTCTGGGAAGATCCAAGTACATTAGAGTTCTTAGAACAGAGTAACAGAGAGAGAACTCTGGAGATCTGCAGAGTATTTAGTACGGTATTTTTCATTATCTGCATGTAGATAAACTCTCTGGCCAAGGGAAGAACTATCTGAAAGGATTAGAGGATTTGAGGGACCTATGCCCGGGTGCCAGGGCCAGGAACAGTGCCTATTCCCAACAGTGAGATTGAGAAATACTTACAGTTCATATAAGTGTATTAGTTTCCTGAGGCTGATACAACAGATCATCAAATAAACTTGGTGGCTCAAAACAACATAAATTTATTCTTTCAAATTTCTGAAAACCAAAAGCGTGCAATAATTTTCACTAAGCCAAAATCAAGGTGTTGACAAGGTCATGCTCCCACCAGAGGCCCTAGCTGAGAATCTGTTCCTCTCTTCTTCCATCTTGTAGCTGCTAGAATTCTCTGACTTGTGGTTGCCTTATTTTCGTCCCGCTGCTGCCTCCTCTTCTGCATATGTTAAACCTCATCCTCTCTCTTTTGAAATGACACTTGTAATTGGATTTAGCACTCATTCATTCAAAACAATCCAGGATAATTTCCCCATAGCAGAATACTCAATCAAATCTGTACAGACCTTTTTTTTTCCTTACTAGGTAATATTTATAGGTTCCAGGGAATAGAAACTGAGTATCTTTAGATGGCTTTTATTCAGCCTGCTTCAATAGGAAGTTGGGTGAATTATTCAGAAGTTCTTGGCTCTTTAGTGAGTAATAGTTAACCTTAAACTGAAAAGTGCTCCAAACCTACCTAACAAATCACAAATGCAAGTCCCAAAAGGATCAAATTGTTTTCTAGTATCCCAGAATAAAGCTCACGACAACTTAGAGGAAGTAGAAAATATCCAGCACTCAGCAAAGTAAAAATCACAATGTCTGGCATCCAGTCAGATTACCAGGCATACAAAGAGATAGGAAAACATGACATTGATTAGATGAATAATCGGTCAAAAGAAACCAAACCAGAACTGACACAGATGTTAGAATTAGCACAGAAGGACATTAAAACAGTTATAACTGTGTTATGTATGTTCAAAAAGTTAAGTGAGGATATGGAAGATACAGAAGACTAAAATTGAACATCTGGAGATAAAAAAATAATGTCTGAGATGAAGAATATACTGAATGGAATTAATAACAGATTTTACAATGTAGAAGAAAAGATTAAGTAACTTGAAAGTATAGCAAACGAAAAAAAAAAACTGACTGTTTAAACATAGCAAATTCATAGCACTAAAACATTAGAAAAGAAGTTCTCATCAAATCCATTACCTCAGCTTCCATCTTAAGAAACTTAAAAAAAAGATCAAGTTAAACCCAAAGTAAGCAGAAGAAAGAAAAATAATATTGAAGTGGAATCAGTGAAATTGAAAATAGAGAAAAAGAAGAAAAATATCGATGAAACCCAAAGCTTGATCTCTAAAACCGATAAAATTGATTTCAAGTCAGACTGATTATGAAGAGAAGTTACAAATTACCAGTATCAAGATTGATTGAAGTGACATTACTAGAGATTCTTCAAATATTAAAAGGGAAAAGAAGGAAATATTATGAATGACTTAATTCCAATAAATTAAAAAAACTGGATATTAAATGCAAATGGACAAATTTCTTCTGAGACACAAGTTACCAAAGCTCACTCAAGAAAAAATAGACAACCTGGAGTACTGTATCTATTTGAGTAATTGAAATTGAAGTTAGAAACCTTGGACAAAGGATATTCCAGGCCCAGATGTCTTCACTAATTCTAATAACATTTCAGGAAAAAAATAATAATACCAGTTCTACACAAAAGTCTTCTAAAAATTGAAACAGAATGTTTCCCAACTTACTCTGTAAAGCTATCATTGACATGGTATTAGAACTAATGATGTTAAAAGAAAAGAAAATTGTATATAGATCAATGTATTTCAGAAATATAGATGTAAAATTTCTAAATAAAATTTTAGCAAATTTAGCAAAGGATAATTCTGGTCTATCTGATAATTCATCATGTCCAAGTGGGATTTGTCCCAGGAATGCAAGGTTGAGTTAACATTAGTTAATCAATCAGTGTAATTTACCATATTAATAAACTAAAAAAGAAAAAAATAAGTAAAAAGCAATTGAAAAAATCCATTCCTGGATATTTTTTAAATCTCAGCAAACAAGGGATAAAATGAAACTTAAAAGGCACCTAAGAAAAACCTAACCTAGCATAATCCTTAGTGAAGAGATAATAAATGCCTTTTTCCATAAAACCAGGAGCTAGAAAGAGATGGGATGTTCACTCTCAGCACTCTATTCAATGTTGTATTTAAGTTTCTAGCCACTGCACTCAGGTAAGAAAAAAGAAAAAAAGAAAAGAAAAGGCATTCTGATTAGAAAAGAAAAAAATAAACCTGTTGTTACTCACAGATAACATAATCATGTACATAAGAAATACAATGGAATCTACTCAAAAAACTACTAGAAATAATAAGTGAATTTGACAGGGATGCAAGATATGAGATTGATATGTGAAAAAAAATATTAGCAATGGTCATTTGAAAATTGAGATTGTAAAAACACCATTTATAATAAAAATATTAAATATTTTGCGATAAATCTAACAAGAATATGAAAGATTTTTACACTGAAAACCACAAAATATTAAAATAAAATTTTAATAACTTGAATAAATTGAAACATGTACCTTCATGGGTCAGAAAGTTTAATATTGTTCAGATATAAATTCTCCCAAATTTGATATATAGATTCAGGCAATCTCAAACAAAATTGCAGTAATATATTTTTGTGTAGGAATTGACAAGTTTATTTTAAAATTCATATTGAGCCCTAGCCAGTTTGGCTCAGTGGTTGGAGCATCGGCCTGCAGACCAGAGAGTTTCGGGTTTAGTTCTTGCTAGGCCCTAGTGGCTAGGGGCACGTACCAAAAAAAAAAAAAAAAAAAAAATTCATATTGAAATTCATGAGACCTAGAATAATAGGCAGAACAACTCTGAAAAACTAATACTACCTGATTCTCGGCACCACAGGCCAACGCTCTAACTGCTGAGCCAAACCAGCCAGGGCATCACTACCTGATTCTAAGAATTATTGTAAAGCTACAGTAATCAAAAGAACATGATATTGTCATCAAATTAGATAAATAGATCAATGGAACAGAGTAGAGAGTCTATAAATAAACCCACACATACATGATTTTTTAAAAAGAGTGCAATGGAGAAAGGATGGCATTTTCAAATCATGCTAGAAATAGTGGGTATTAAAAAGCAAAAACAAAAAATTATCTCAGATCTATGCCTCACAGTAGTTACAAAAATTGACCCAAAATGGGTCATAACCCTACATGTAAGTCCTAAAACTATAAAATAAAGGACCCTAAGAGGAAAAATCACACCATTCACAAGAGAACAAATTTATAACTTCAAAAATTTTTTAAACTTTTTCTTTTCAAAAGACAACTAAAAAGATAAGCCCCAGACTGGAAGAAAATCTTGGCAACACATTTATTTGATAAAGGACATGTGTCCCGAATACATAAAGGACTCTTAAAACTCAATAGAAAGAAGACGGGTAACCAAATGAAAGCATGGGCAATATATTTGAACAGATGCTTCACCATGAAAAGACGTTCAGTGTCGTTCCTCGTTAGAGAACTGCAAATGAAAACCACAAGGAGGTAACATTAAACACTCACTAGAAAGAATACAACTTTTAAAAAATACCATGCCAAGTATTGGCAAGGACATAGAGGATCTAGAACTCTATACATTGCTGATGGGAATGTAAAATGAACAAGAAAAAACAGCACAACTGCTTTAGAAAACAGCTTCGTAGTTTCTTAAAAAGATAAATAATCATGAGCCAAACACCTAGTCATTTCATTCCTAGTTTTTTAACTCAAGGAGAAAGGCAATTGATATACATAGCTGTTTTATTTGAACTAGCCAAAAACTGGAAACTGCCCAAATGTCCATCAACAGATGAAGGGATAATTAAATTGCAGGGTATGCATTCAATAGAATAAAACTCAGCAATAAAAAGGAATGAACTGTTGATAACATTCCGTATCACAGATGATAAGGCTCAAAATAATTATGCTGAGTGAAATAAACCAAGCAGAAAAAGTGTTGAGATTGTGTGATTCTATTTGTATAAAAGTGAAGAAAATACAAATTAATCTATGGTGAGAGAAAGCAGATCAGCAATTACTTGGAGATGGAGATCAAGAGTGAGTAACAAGGAGCTCGGGGAAACACTGGTGATGCGTATATATGTTCACTCTCTTGTTGGTGCTGGTGATTTCAGGGGTGTCAAAACTTGCCAGATTCTACATTTTAAAATGTGCAGTTTATTATGGGTCCTTTAACTCAATAAAGCTGTTTTAAAAAATTAATGGGTTTCAGGACTTTCTATTATCAATGACAGGCAGTTAGTCAAAAGTATATGTCTGTGGATTAAAATACTTATATTTCTTTCTACAGCATTATATTAACCATATCTTGAGTGAAAACATGAGGAAAATTTACAACTTATTTTTTTCAAATTAATTCTTTATTTTTATTTATTTGAGAACCTTAAATAACACAGTCATAAAGAGGTAGAACATACCAATTAATTCAATTTAAACAATTAAGTTAATAACTGTTTTAAGCACCTCAAGGTTGTAATTTATTTATAATCAAGCGCCCAAGTACTCACTGTAACAGTTGGTGCCAGTTGAACAATTTGCTTCTTTAAATATATTATACATTCAGTATTGAAATGTGTTGCTGTGCTCATCTTTGAAGACATTTATTTACAGTAAATGTTCTTATAACATAGGATTTTCTTCATCAAAATTATTAAAATCTGTGATTATCTGATGTATTAAAAAGAGTTTAGTGATAATCAGAGCACATACATTGACCCATTCATGAAATTAGTGCTTAAGTTTTACCACATAAGCTTAACATGCATGACAAATTATATCCAAGAGTCTAACATAGCACCACGTATCGTAATGTTATTCCAGCATACAGCAGAACTGGTACCGGGAACCAGTCCTGCATTTGTGTTGTGTATAATAGCTGCTTCTCCTCTTCGGGCAGAAATGCAATCCCACAGCCTCACTATACTGACATTTTGCTTCTAAAGCTTTTCAAAGCTGCCTTGTAAATAATGTTGCTACTATTCTTCTATTATAGAAACTCCTCTTTCCTCTCTGTGTGTTATCTACAAAGTCAATAACATGTTAATAATTTTTCTTGTCTCTGGCTTCAGGAGGTCATTGATAGTAATTCAGGAAAACTGACAATTACAGAGAGAAGGTTTTCCATCTCATGGCCATTTTCTGAAATTCCATGTGTATTTTAGCACAATTCTCTTCCTGGCATATATCCTTAAAAAAAATAAGTTGGTATGTCTTTCTTAATTACTAATTTTCTGGCTCAGCTGAAGGTGGTAAATCCAAAACTGCATTTCATCATCATTACACTAGACTTAACTTGCTACTAGTAACTTTTCTTCTTTGCTAAGTATTAATCCAGTTACCGATACTTAATAATAAAAGTTACATGAAAATTTTGTCAAATATTGGAGTCTTCTTCCAGTTTAAGTAGGAATATCATCTTTGCTTGAAATGTAAGAAAAGTAATCTAGCCAAAGTAGCAAGCAGCAAGTCAGTCTTGGTCAATTTAGTTTTAATAACTTACTGTTTGACTAAGTCAGTATGTAATGGATCTGATCATTTGAAATGTGCTCTTATTTGTGAATCTTAGCAGGTAATGTTATAAGCTTAAGTTAGAGGTTACAGTAATTGTTTTGTGAAACATAGCTTAGTTTCCCTGAAACTTTAACAATTACAATTTGTTTTGATTTTTAAAGGAAATGTTGGGTGAACTCTTCACTCCTGTAGAAACACCTGAAGCACCAAACAGGGGATTCTTTAAAGGTTTATTTGGCGGTGGTGCCCAATCTCTTGATAGAGAAGAACTATGTAAGTTGATTTATTTAATTTGGGTAACATATCTTAAAACAAACACTCCAGCCATATAAATTTGTTACATGTATATGTTATATTCACTTTTTTTGTCTTTGTCACAACAATTAATATATTCACATTTTAGCAAAATAATACAAAATTATTTTCTCTTGCTCTAACCCAAACCAGGGACTATTTTACTCAGGCAACCAAAATCAGAATAGCTTCAAGTAGTTAAAATGAGTACTTACAACTTGATATTAATAATTTAGAAAGTATTCTTATTAAATATGATCATTATTATTGTAATTACACCATTGACTTTAATTGATTACCTTAATTTTGAAAATTTTTTTACTTAAACATTTATTTTATCTTACAAAATTTCTAGAACTATTCTTATTGCACTAGAAGGTTATTTGAAATAGCAAGATCTGGTTCATTCCACATAAATAGGAACAAATCAGAAATTGGTCCTTGGGTGAACTAAAGAATCAATGAAATTTTTATCTCTCAAGTAGTAGGAGCTATTATCTATCCTCAAATTTCACTTCATTTCTTTTATTTCTAAAATATTTTAGAATTTTGCTTTTGTGTTTAATTAGAAAGACTGTAAGATTAAATCCAGTAAGTAGCCCTGCAGTGCAATTTCATATCTGAAAAAAACTTACCTGGGCGAAAAACAAAATATTTTAACTTTTAGAAACATCAAAGCACTAACAATATAGAAAGGACAGTATCCATGGAGAAGGGTGTGAACCCAGAGTGGTGAGCTTAGCAATCTGAGGCCACTTTTGTCCTAAAATATTTTGAGATCTGAAACAGGAAGCTGAGATAGTAACCTGTGTTAGGACTAGCAAGGTGGGATCCCAGAACTCACAAGGGTGAGGACACAATAAACAAATCCCCCTTTTGCAAGGATGCCAAAGGGCTGCACCTGAAGAGTGAAGATGAGCTGGAAGTAAGACAGCTTGCTCTCTCTTTCTCGCTCCCTCTCTCTTCCCCTCCCTCCTCCTCTCTCTCTCTCTCCACCCCCCTCTCTCTCACACACACATGCACAGGCTTTCAGCTCAGCTTCAGATTATTTGAGTAGTCAAAAAACTTTCAACCTTTGTTAAGATTTTTGCAGACAGATTAAGTCCCCAGCATCTGGTAGAAGCAAATGAAAATGTTCTGCAAAGGAAGATGATATATCCACATCCTCAAATGATTTCTGGAAATAATTTTTCAAATATGTAGTCATAAATAACCAAGAATCCTAGAAAATTAGCACCATGATCAATAAAACAAAAAGTCAGAATGAGAATCATAGGTACTTCAAATATTGGGACTAAGTTACTAACAGTAAAATAACTATGCATATTATGTTTAAGAAGATAAGTATCATGCCTGAACAATTTATTGAGTAACTGAAACCTTAAACATCAGTACAACAAATATGTTAAAAACTAAAATGAAATTGAAGAACTGAAATATTCAAAAACCAAAATTAAAAACTTGGTTGATGAATTTAACCATAAATTAGACAAAACTGAATGAGAATGATGTAAATTAAAGATTGGTCAAAGTAGCCCTGGACGGTTTGGCTCAGCGGTTAGAGCATCGGCCTGTGGTCCAGAGAGACCTGGGTTCAGTTCCCGCTAAGGGCGTGTATCTCGGTTGCAGTTTGCCCCCGGCAAACTGGGTTGTGCGGGTGGCAGCCACTCGATGTGGCCCTTTCACGTCGATGTTTCTCTCTCTCTCGCCCTCTTTCCCTCCCACTCTATCTGAACAAAAAATGGAAAAATGTCCTCGGGTGAGGATTAAAAAACAAACAAACAAAAACAAACAAAGAAAAAAAAGATTGGTCAAAATAAACCATCTAGAATGTAGCACAGAAAAACAAAAAGTTGTAAAAAACAGAGAAGAGATTAAAGAAACAGAAGTTGCAGGGAAAAGGTCTAACACATGTTTAGACCTCAAGAAGGAAATGGGAAAGAATGTGAAGAAGAATTATATATAAAGAGATACAGCTAGAAGTTTCTCACACATTCAAGTTCCAAGAAGGATATTTTGTTATAAATTCAAAGCTTGATATATCATATGAAAATACAGTATGTGAAAGACAGAACATCTTTAAGGTAGCTTAAGAAAAATAATAGATACCCTTTAACAAGCTGGAGACTGACTTCCTAACAGCCAATGTTATTCTATACATTGACAGGTAGTAAACCTTAATCTAGAATTCTCTACTCAAAATATCCCTCAAGAATGAGACATTTTTAAACAAATGGACAAATAAAGTAAGCCTTGCCACCACACTCAAGGGAATTCTAAAGGATGTACTTTAGAGAAAACATAATCTTCGATGGAATGTCAGAGATATGTGATACAGTGCTTTGGAAAGTAACAAATACATAATTATAATCATATAATCTTCATATTCTATAAAACCAAGTCTTGTGGTATGTATATCCACATACACATATAAATAAACAATATGGCCCAAAAATTATATAAAATCAAGGGAGTTGGAAAAGGTAAGTAGATATAAGATGACCAGAGAGCCCTGAATTTTTTGAGAGACTTGTAAAAATTATTCATTAGCATTAATAAAAATGCATCTTATAATTTCTAGGAATGAGAGAGTGGTCTTCTTTGGGTGAGTGGGTGGGGACCATTATTCTGAAAACCACAATAGTGTTGAAAAACAATCTTGAAATAAATCTTAACAGAAGATAAACAGGACCTCCACGGGGAAAAGAGAAGATCACAGAACTGCTGGGAAGTGAAAGGCCAGAACATGTGGAGCTCTGTCGTGCTCATGCCGTGAAGATTCAGCAGGAGACATCAGTGCTCCCAAAGCTGATGGGTGCACGTACACACATCTGTGCACACTCCACATTTTGTATATTACTCTAAATCTTACGAGGAAATTCAAAGGATCTCAATACTTCTATTTAACATTGTACTAGTGACTTTAACCAGGGCAGTTAGGCTAGAAAAGGAAATAAAAGGTATGCAGATTTGAGTGCAAGAAGTAAAACTCTCTCTCTGTGCAAATGACATATTCTTGCATACAGAATATCTTTAGGCATACACACAAAAAGAGAAAAATATAGCTAATACACAAGTTTAGCAATATGGGGTATATATAGGTCAACATAAATAATAAATTGCATTTGTATACACTAGCAATAAACAAACCAAAAATTAAGAAAACAAGTCTATTTTAAATAACATCAAAAGATAAAATTACCGAAGAAGTGTAAAAGAGCCCTGGTCGGTGTGGCTCAGTAGTTTGGGCATTGCCCCGTACACTGAACAGTTGCTGGGTTAATTCCAGGTCAGGGTACGCGCCCGGGTTTCGGGCTCCATCCCTGATAGGGGGCATGAAGGAGGCAGCCAATCGACGTTTCCCTCTCACATTGATGTTTCTCTCTCTGTCTCCTTCTCTCTACCTCTCTCTCAAAATAAATAAAAAAATTTTTAAAGAAGTGTAAAACATATACTTAAAACTTCAAAACATCATTTAAAGAAATTAAGACATAAATAAGTGGATTGACATACTATGTTCGTGGACTAGAATATTATTGCTAAGATGACAATATTTTCCAAGATAATCTATACATTCAACCAAATTCCTGTCAAAATACCAGCTGGTTTTTTAGACAAGGAAACAAGTTGTTCCTAAGATTCATATGGAAATGAAAAGGATCCAAACACACACAGACAATCTTGAAAAAGCAGCAAAAAGATGGAGGGCTCACATTTTGATTTTCAGAGTTAACACCAGTCTATCTATAATCATTAAAATAGTGTGCTACTGGCATAATGATAGACACATAGACCAATAAAATAGAATTCACAATCCAAAAATAAGCTCATACATATATGGTCAATAGATTTTCTACAAGATGCCATAAAATTTCAGTGGTAAAAGATTGGTCCTTTCAACAGATGGTATTGGGGCACTGGCTATGCACATGTAAAATAATAAACTTGGACTTCAATCTCACACTGTACACAAAAATTAATTCAAAATGGATCAAAGACTCAATGTAAAGAGTTAAAACTGTAAAACTCTCAGAAGAAAACATAGTTATAAATCTTTGTAACCTTAGATTAGGTGATGGTTTCTAGATACAACACCTAAATCACAGCAACTGATGAAAAAATAGACACATTGTATTTCATCAAAATTAAAAGCCAAAGAACACTATCAAGAAACTAAAAAGATAGCCCACAAAATGCAATAAAATATTTTCAAATTACATATGTGATATATCTGATAAGAATCTACTATCCAGAATATGCAAAGAACTCTTACAACTCAACGATTAAAAAAAATAATAATAAGTAGCTCACTTTTTAAGTGCGCTAAGGGTTTGAATAGATATTTTTCCAAAGAAAATATGCAGATAGCCAGTAAACATATGAAAAGATGCTGAACATCGTTTGTCAGTAGGGAAATGCAAATCAAAACCACAGTGAACTATCACTTCACACTTACTAGGATGGCTGTAATAAAAGAGACATACAATAACAAATGTTCTCAAGGATGTGGAAAAGTTGAAACTCATATATTGCCAGTGAAAACGTAAAATTCTTTAAACTCTGAAAAATTCTGGCAATTATTCAAAAAGTTAAGCATGAAGTTATCATGGGACCCAACAGTTACACTCCAAGATAATTAAAAACACATATTCACACAAAAACTTGTGCAAATGTTCATATCAGCATTATTTATCATAGCCAGAAAATGAAAATAACTCAAAATGTCCAGCAACTGATGAGTAGATAACCAAAATGTCATCAGTTCATACAATGGAAAGTTATACAATCATTCAAAAGGATGAAGTACTGATACATGCCATAACATTGTTGAACCGTGACAACATTTTTTAAGTGAAAGAAGCCAAACCTAAAAGGCTACACATATTGTATGAATCCATTTATGTGAAATATTCAGAACATGAAAATACAAAGATGAGTAGGGAAATGATTGACAAGGGCTGAGAAGAGGGGGTAATGGAAATTGGTTGCTGATGAAGTTTGTGTTATTTTGTAGTGATGAAAATGCTCAGAAATAGTGGTGATGGTTGCAAAATCTTTTGAATAAACTAAAAATTAGTGAATTGTTGAGGGGAAATTTTTATGGTATTTGAATTACATGTCTAAAGAAAGAATTGTGTGCCCCGGCCGGTTTGGCTCAGCGGTTGGAGCGTCGGCCTGCGGTCCTGAGAGACCCGGGTTCGGTTCCCGCTAGGGGCGCATACCTCGGTTGCAGTTTGTCCCCGGCCCTGGTTGGTTGTGCGGGTGGCAGCCACTCGATGTGTTCCTTTCACGTCGATGTTTCTCTCTCTCTCTCTCTGTTCCTCTCTCTCCCTCCCACTCTACCTGAACAAAGAATGGAAAAGGTGTCCTCGGGTGAGGATAAAAAAAAAAAAAAGAAAGAATTGTGTGCTGAGAGAAGAGGGAATGTGACAGCAGTTAACAGGATTTAAGGCTCGCAGTAATCTAAAAGTTAGGTGGTTAGGGTCCTTAGGGTCTGGGTGACGAGGGGAAAGGAAGCAATGTATGTATACCTGAGATCTTTTGAAGGAAAAATTGGATCTATTTGGTAAGTGACAAGATAAATGGAGAGAAAGAAAGGGATGTAACATATTTATAACTTTTGGAGCCTAAAATAAAATGTTGAAGAAATTCTCTATTTTTCTTTACTTCTAAGCTTAAGCACAGTATTTTAAGACAAAGTATGTAGTAAATAAACTAAATTAAATTGGTATATTTAAATTTAAATCTATGTATTTTAATTTAGATATCTTTAAATTAATTTATCTTCAGCTTTTTTCACACTTAAGAGTAATTTTTACTGTGATATAAATAATTACCAGTCTCTTTGCACAAATCCTGTTATTTATAAAGTAAATATTTAAATGTACATTGTGTTTTACATTTTAAAAAGTATCTAAAAATTAAGATATAATAAAATTAAAATGTATTAATTATGAAATGAAATTAAATAATCATTTCAATTATATTGACATTCAGTCTAAAAATTGTTTTAGTGCTATCAGGTAGTAGGACTTTATATTAGTAAAATTTTCATGTTTTGAGTTTCTCTTTCATTTATCAATTTGTTCAGTTGGAGAACTGTCCTCAGGAAAGGCTTCAAGAAGTCTTGCACAGCATATCCCTGGTCCTGGTGGCATTGAAGGCGTGAAAGGAGCTGCATCTGGAGTCGTTGGTGAATTGGCACGAGCCAGGTTGGCACTAGATGAAAGAGGGCAGAAACTGGGTGACCTGGAAGAAAGAACCACAGCCATGTTATCCAGTGCAGATTCATTTTCTAAACATGCTCATGAGGTATGTCTATCAAACAAATATTTAAACAACAAAAAAACACAGTAAAATAAGTATGATGAACATTACTGTATTTGTATAGCTATTTTATATCTGTGCATGTATTTTTGTGTATCCTCTGTACAATTGTAAATTCCTGAATCTTGCCACCAGAGGGAACTATTACAAGAATATGTCTCAGTGGCTTTTGGTCTTTTACTGAAGTTTATAAATCTAAGGGAACCTGCTCACCTTCAGGCCTTCTCTTTGCAACCGTTTCTTAGCAGTAACAAAAGCTAACTTTTCTGAATGCCTCAGATTCGATACCAGTTTCTCCTGACAGGGTAATATTTTTCTTATCTTGATTCTTTAGGTAGATCTAAATAGCTAATATTGGCAAACACTTTTATTCAAATAAACAATACTAAATATGTCTAGACTAATTCAGACAGAGGAGTAGTAGTAAGCTGCATTTTTGCAATGAATTCATCTTGATGAACTAGGAAGTCACAGTGGAGCTTAGAAAAGGATTCTATTCAGTGTGGCTTCCTGAGTAATACTCTTATAAATATGCTTTGTTGGCCAGCAGAGTACACTTTAACAAACTGAATTTAGGCCTCCAGATGGAATACACATGTTTCATTCTGACACACAGGTCTGCCATTCCTTGATGCTTTACACTGGGTCACTCCACACATTCAGTTCCTAGCCTATACCTTGAGGACATCTCGAGTTTGTTGTCTGAAAAGTCCATATTAAGGATTTATGTTTGAGCGCCCAATCTGCCAGCAATAGATCTTCTGTAAATTTTTCACCAAAAGTCATCTTTTTCTTGCTCTAGAATGCATAAAAGAGGTAACTTTACCTGGAAAAGATTTGTTCAGGGCTTCAAAGAGATTTGGAAACCTTTTGTCAGACCTTGTACTAGGCTGACACACACCTCGGATGTAGCCTAGCAGCCTTCGATCTAGGGCAGGAATTGTGTCGGCACAACCCTGCCCCTGACTGTGACCTCTAAAGCATGTAACACTTCAGTCCATTTCAGAATTGTCCACACTCTCAGTATTTAGCAAAGGGCTCAGTATCGAAGAGGTAGCTTTTTCCTCCTACCACATATTCTTGAGTCATATTTTAGAGTCGAAGGAAGACAGTACAGTGAGGTGGTTAAGATCATGGGTTCTTGAATCAAACTACATGGGCTCAAACCCCAATTTCACCATCAGTTACTTTGGGTAGCCCCTTTAAGCTTCAGATTCCTCATTTATAAAATGGGGAGAACAAATGGAATCCTGTAGGAAGTGTGTCATTGCAGTGCTGGCTCAGAGTAAGTGCTCAGTAAACTTTAGATTACAGTAATAGTAGTATTTTTAACCTTTCACTCCCAGGTTCTTTAAGCATTATTTTTAGTTAAAATTAGAGTGCTGAAAATTACCTTATTTGTAAGTTATTACCTTAGGTCACCAAAGAATACACTGAGCCAAATTTTAATTATGTCACGTGTCTAAGAAATGTGAGGGTCTTCTAGGCTGGTATTAGCTGTAGACTGTTTTTTTCTCTAAACGAAACTGTTCTTACTTATTGCTGAAGTAAACAACAGTGACACTACAGAATCTTTCCTAATGATATAATGTTTTTGGAAAATATACTAATCAGTTATAACTTACAAATGTTGTTGTTCTGGCATTTTTTTAAAAAACATGTTTTCTCCCCTTTAGATGATGTTGAAATACAAAGATAAGAAGTGGTACCAGTTCTGACCACCAGAAGTCCAACTAAGTCCAACTTCAGCCAAAAGGAAAAAGAATTTTCCTCTTTCATTTCATTGATTTTAGTTTAGGAAAGTTAACATGAAAGGGTGTTCGTCACTGGAGACTATTCTTTCCTAGCACAGTCATGCACTGTTTTACCTCGGTCCTGTGGCTTTAACAGGCGTGTTCACACACTCGGTGTGGAGCAGAGGCTGTGTGCCCGCTCCGACATAGCAGTCTGGGAACTGAGCAGGGCACACTTTACAGATGAAGAAACAAAGGGGGATGCTGAGGCATGGCAGGGGCTGTTCCTGGATCATTCCTGTGTTAAACTTTCATATGCCAAAAGAGTTATGCTGTTGTGTCTGCCATCAGTGTTTGACCTTTGAGGGAGAGGCAAGAAGTGAGAAGTTCTGAAGCTGAAATGGTGGTTTGTCTCACTGAGTGAATTATAAACAGCTGTCTTGGACTTTCCCTCCCTTAAACTGACTGGTCATCAGTATCATTAGTGAAAAAAGAAAAACTGTTTGTTACCATATCTTTAGACAGATAAGCTGAATGGTGGGCTTTAAATAATAAAAACATACACACAGTTGACTTGTGTATGGGCTACTCTTGGATTCTTGTTATTGTATACTTGTGTTTAGTCCATATTTTGTCAAAAGCAAAACAAGGTGATACATCACTTTTCATTGAAAAGAAAAGTGTAGAGCATGACTGAACTGCTCATCGTTCTAGGAGTTTCCATGTGGTGGCTAAACAGTGTGGAAAAGTGAGAAAAACCTCCGTTGTGGTGAGGAGAATACTTCAATGCCCCTCGTCCTTGTTCTCATTAATTCAGCTAAAGATGGATTTGACCAAAATAGTTACCAGTTACATTTGTAGAAATGTTGAAATTGGCTAAGTTTTTCATTTTGCTTGAATTTTTATAAAATGTTTAACCAAATATACCTTTGCATTATTTAATTAAAATTGCTTTATAAATGTTTCATTATTTCAGTCAAGTGCTCAGCTCCCTTTTCAAAATGCCCTTGATTTGCTGACAGTTCCAGTACACTCAGGTGATGAGCCAGTTAAATCTCAGCGCACATGCTGTCGCATGGAGAACCACAAGCATCTGTCGTCAATAATTACTTATATACGAGTCTAGTCTGATGACCTACAAAACATTTCCTGTAGAAATAACACTATACATCTGTACATGTCCTTTCAAGGTTTTCAAAAGCCCAACGAAAGGAAAATATGTGCATTTTTGTAACTAAATTATTTCTGTATTGGAATATAATGCAAATGAGACTGGCAGTGGACAATATATGTTTGATTCCCAAAATAGCATTACAGACAGAAAGGATGCAATTCGGTAGACCTTGGAAGGAAGGAATTTCATAACACAGGCATCTGAGATTATTATTGATTGTTATTAAAGCAACAAAGGAAGAGCAAAACAGAAGCATTACCCTTAATGAAATTTAAATATTTTTTTTCTACAAAGAAATTGTTTAAAACCGTTTTCTTTTTTCATTGAGATAATTAGAGCACAAATTGATAGCAAACATGATGGTTGTTTTTTCTATTCCATATGATCATTAAAGGTACCTGTAGAACACCTTGATTCCATGCAGTCTGTTATGCATCGTTTCCTCTTCACTGTTTGTTTACATTTTATAACGTGCACTACGGGATACAGATGTTTACATTAAAATTTACTTTAAATATCATTAGAGAGGGACTAAATATATGTGATACAGATAATTGATCAAGCCAAAATAAATATTTTAAAAATACTTTTCAAAGGTTTTGAATTTGTAGAAAGTATCTATTAATAACATATTTCTGTTTTGTTAATATCAGCTGTATGGTGAACATTCAGCCGTTTACATATTGCTTAATTTTTATTGTATATTATCTAATAAACCCATTGTTCCATATGTCACAGGAAGTGTTAGGTCCTTTTTTAAAGCTATAGTTACAAATTTGAAGTTGAGAAGCACTAAATAAATACATTGGTTGATTACCTACTCATGTGGAAGGTCATATTAGCTCTAATTATTTGATTTGCTGTCTTGCGTTAATTGTATATCCACTTCATTTTTACTGTCATTTTTCCTGTTGTATATAACATGAACCAATCTTGTAATTATTTTCAAATAGAGAAGTAGATACGTTTACTTGAGATGGATTTTATAAGAAAATTTTAAATCAATATTTTGGGTTATTTTATTTCATTTTTAAACTAATCTACAAATTATGCACAGCACACTACAAACTTAGAATTAGAAAGCTTGAAGTATTTTTGAAAATAGGAAATAAAGTTTCTTGAATTTATACTTGATTCAGTCTGTAGATAAGAGACAGTCTGCAGTAATAACTAACCCAGGGAATTTATTGTAATTTGAGAGATAACATCTCTATTTTTTTTTAAATGCAGAAATAGTCACCAGCAAGCCAAGATTTCAGGAAAACAAACCAAAAAAAAAAAAAAGTCAAAATAGAAAATATTAGAAAAGGAAAGATTACGTGTGCTTCCTTCATATCCTCAAACATTGTTCTTTGCTGCATTTGTCCTTGGCTCTAAAATCGTTGAAGTGTTTATTGAATACAGTTTGTGAATAGGATGTGGTTTCCCTATATGTACCACATAACCAGTTCATTTCACTCTAAAATCCATATGTATTTGCCTAGAAAATTATTTAAAATCTTATATTCTGACAAATTCTGTATATTGTAGCCATTTCAAGTTTTGCATCATCTTAATCCCCTTGGTTTGCATTTCAATTGTACAAAGTGTTTCCAAAAGTGGTTATAGATATAAAACTGAGCTATATCTAACAATTTGATTTTTCTATGGATGTGAAAAAAATGCTGCTACTTGTCTATGATATGTGTTGTATATTACAGTTTAATTAAGTACAGAACTTTTCAAAAAGAAGCATTTCTTTTGCTTAGAACTTCCTAATTGTAGGTACCTCTGAAGTTATTTCATGTAGATATGTGTTTTAAACAAGTCTGAAAGTGTTACATACTTTTAGGGTACAGGGCCAGTGGGGAGACAACTGAGGGAAGGACCCGACAGAGTTCAAAGTTTTACCCTGAGTTCTATATTCCTTACACGTTTTACTTCGGGCATTTTCTCATGTGACATTAGAAAAGATGTATCCAAAGGTAAATTTTTTGTGGCAAAAATTTATTTTACATTTTAATTTTGGGGATTTTGTTTATTTTTTCTTTCAAAATAAAGAGCACTGAACTTTAAACTTGAAATTTTCTGCACTTTTTAGGTAATGAGATCTTTTTATTATCATTTAATCTACATTTCACAGTTCAGATCAAGTGATACATATGTATAGAATCATACCAAAATCATGAATATGCTGCTAGCGGCACTACTTAAACAGTTACACTGATCATAGTTTTAAAACCTTAAATGGGGTTTTATATCGTTTTCAAGGATAAAATGCAGTAAAACCATTTCTGGGCATTTCACTGTTCTAGGTTTTAAATTACTGCAACACTTTCAGATTTGTTTTGTGATCATACAGTGACATGTTATATTTATACATACTGCAAGAGAATATACTTTTAGTTTTGAAATGGAATTTTTATAAATGTACTCTTTAATTTTAAAAACAGTGAACTTGTTAAGTCAAAGTACTTTAAAAGTATGTATATTATCCATACAAAAAGTTATGTTTTACGCTTATAATAAGAAATACTGGTATCTCATATCGAGATACAATTAATTTTAAAGAATCATACATCATTCAGAAGTCTTCACACGTGACAGGAAAGATTATTTCTATGATTTTAAAACCCTCTATTGAGCATTTTCAAATATTAATTTTATTTTGGCGAAAATGCCCACAACACTCATCGCCAGATCCTTCTCAAAAGCTGCCGCTTGCTGCTGGATGCCTACCTTAACCGTTGTTTACACACGCGCACACACGCACGTTGAAAATCGTTTTCTGGGTATTTTCTTCTACCTTTTTTAAAAATAAATGTCCAAAAATGAAAACCAGTTTATGTATTTTGTCAATGAAGGTTTTTATTTTCTAGTTTATAGAATTTGTTGATCAATATTCCTAGACTTCTAATCTGTATTTAGTTTGAAGAGCTCTGTCCTTTATTTTTCTTCTTTTCCTTTTTGAAGTCTTTGTTCTCTTGGATTGAAATGTATCACCCACCCACTCCCCCTTTTTTTTTGTTTAAAAATGTTAAGATACTATTTACAGCTTTTGTTTATTACACGTTGTATCACTCTGATCAATTTCTTGTAAAGTACTATGCTGATTCTTTTTCCTGTGAATACTAATGATCTTACTGCCCACACAGAAGTTTTATAGGTTCTGTGGGCATAAAATAGTTGTGACAACAACAAAAATTAAAAGGAAAACTTGAGCTTACCTTTCTCAGCTGAATTAAATAGTTTTAATAACTCCCCAGTTATCAGGGTTATAACATTGCTTTCTTCAGTTGTTAATACATTCTTAAATTATTAGGCACAATTCATTTACTAATTGAGTACAGTGGTTTAGGACTACATATAATTGCTCCTTTTATTACACTTTACATCAGAAAAAATATGAATGTCCATTTTGCCAGTATTTCTCAATGAGGCTGATAGTTTAAAATTTTATCGTGTATGGGATGTAAATAAATTAGTAATTATTGTAGGTTGTTTTGTTCAGGCATTTAAAATGGATATAAGCTAATGACAATGGAATCCTATTTGGGAGTTTCTTTTTTTTTTTTTTTTTTTTAATACCTTTGCTATGTGTTTTGTGTTGTTTAAACTTTGCTTCAACTTAAGACAATGTAAGGAGTTGACGAGACATATCATTAGGAAGCAATGCAAAGAGGTTAAATCATGTTTTAAATTTTTTAATTACTTTTTTTTTTGTAAATAAATGGTACTGTGATACTTCAGGTGTGACCTCTGCTTCACATGGTAGAACCAGAAAAACATTTTGCTTTCTAGTTATACTATTAGTTCATCATAAGTGAATGCATCACCAAAAACTATTAAACAGAGCAAGAAGAAGTTTCCTCATTCAGGGGCAAGCATGCTTGGTGTAGAACTCTAGCTTGTGTCCACCTTAAACTGTACATGCAGGTAGTGTTCAGTTGCTGCACTGTCTTTTTCTATATATATATATATATATATATATATATATATATATATATATATATATAATGCTCATTCCAGTAACTATCTCAAAGGTAATTACTGGCATATGCATTTTAAATACGGTTAAAAAAAATCTCTGTGTACTATTTCATTTGAAACAAACAAACAAAAGCACTATTGCAAACACTAAAAGTGTGTTAACCTTTGTAGTTATTTTGCATTCCTGTACTTTACAAACTGTCATCACAGCAAAGGGTTAAAATTAGGTAATGAAATATTTTTGTAAATAAATACCATTAAGCTGGTATTTTAAAAAATGTATTATAAATTACTGTTTCTGGAAAATGTTCATATATATGTATATGAATGTCTCTTTATGCTGAAGGGCTCTGATTGGGCAAAATAAAATACTCTCATCTCTCCTGAAACTAAACAAGCCCTTTTTTCTGGAAATTTGTTTTAATTTTTTTCTCTGAATTGTTGAATTAACCCATTAATTTAACCTAAGCAAAGGAAAGTCAAGTTGATTAAGTAATTTAAGTGAGACAAGTTGTATTTTTCTTAACTATCGAATTTTTGGTAAAAGTCACCTGACCCTGTGTTGGGTGGGGGTGGTGCAGCAGAGGATGAAAGTCAGGAGGTAGCTGTGGATGGCGCCTGTGGGTCTGCAGTGTGTACAGGTATCTCCTAGCATCTTTGAGGTGCAGGTTCAGATTCAGGGCTTCCAGGGTGGGGTCTGGTCTACCTCTGCATCTCTGATAAGCTCCCAGGTAGCACAGATCCTGCTGGTCCGTGGGACATAACTTGGAATAGCAAGGCTTTGGCCAGTGAGTACTATCAGTGTCAGTGTTCAATGACTTGTACCAAACAAATATGAACATCACATTAATGGATCTAAAATAATATAACTTAAAGCAGACTTTTCTTTTTTAATCATTGATTTCATTGCATTTCAAAATAAAGAATATGGTAATTCTGTTATTGAAGGTTTCTTTGGTTTTGAAATCTTTATATTACTGCCCACATGGTGGCAGCTGTGTCTCACCGTATTGTCTGAGCCTTTATTTAACAAGAGCTTACAACACCCTGTAAGAAAGGAAAACTGCAGACTGCAAAGGTTCCTTTTCATGACGGATACTTTTTACCTAGAAAATTATCCAAGTCTTAGATATGGAGCAGACAAAATAAGTTATTTGCTATAAAGTGATGCAGGTCATTTGGTACCATGACCTGGTTTATCAAAAGACAGTTCAGTATTTTTCCAGAAATTACAGGCATTGAGTGATACAAATTTAAAAACTAAAAGATTGTCATCATGCCCTGGCCGGTTTGGCTCAGCGGTTAGAGCATTGGCCCGCGGTCTGGAGACCCCCGGGTTCAGTTCCCACTAAGGACACGTACCTCGGTTGCAATTTGTCCTGGGCCCTGGTTGGGTTGTGGGGTGGCAACCACTCGATGTGTCCCTTTCACGGCAATGTCTCTCTCTCTCTCTCTCTCTCTCTCTCTCTCTCTCTCTCTCTCTCCCCCCCCCCTCTCTTCCCCTCTCTCCCTCCCACTCTATCTAAACAAAAAATGAAAAAATGTCCTCGGGTGAGGATAAAA